TGCAAGCTTCAAGCATACTTTGTTTTTTACTTTTATAGTAAAGCACTTTTTAAAAAAAATTGTCAGCTCTCACAAGAACACCCAGCTAAGCTGGCGCCAGTCCACTGTATAACTGTTATTAATAAATGATAGTGCATAAAATTCCTGCCCCCAGATGTAAATAATTGTAAAGAAAAATAATTTATTTGTCTCACTCAATAGGCTTTGGGCCTGAGGCTTTAAACTTTGTGTGCCTTAAAATGTATCCTGCCAAAGTCCTTTCAACTATATTAAATACTTTTTTGTTTTTGAGACAGGGTCTTGCTCTGTCACCCAGGCTGGAGTGCAGTGGTGTGATCTCTGCTCACTGCAACCTCTGCCTCCTGGGCTCAAGTGATCCTCCTGCTTCAGCCTCCCAAGTAGCTGGTACTACTGGTGCGCATCATCACACCTGGCTAATTTTTATGTTTTCGTAGAGATGAGGTCTTACCATATTGCCCAACCTGGTCTTGAATTCCTAGGCTCAAGAGATCTGCCCATGTCAGCCTCCCAAAGTGCCGGGAATACAGGCATGAACCTCTACACCCATCCTATATTAAATGCTATTGATGCATAAAGATAATTAATACTTGTTGAATATGTTAGGCTCACTGTTAATGTACATGGCTTCACTTAACACACAAATGAGGAAAGTGAAGTTCAGAAAGTTCAAATAACTTGCCTCAGTCACACGTCTACTCAGTAATCAAAATGGATTCAAATCGTCTCAGTCTGATATGAAGGTCTCATCACTTTTGACCACCACAAGGCTGGTGGCAACTTCAGATGAGATGTAGACTTCATTTCAGACATTTAAGAATACATTTGCAAAATATTTTGCTAGTGCTTCTAATGTGAGAGCAAAATAATTGATTTTTATTTCTTCTTTTTCACATGCCCTAGTAGAGGTACTGGGGAAACTGCCAAAAAGAGACAAAGTTCAGACAGAAAAGAGGATGAGTGAATAATCCACCAACCGGGAAACCCTGACACAACAGGCAGTGATTGAGATTAGACCAGCCGTCTGCCTAGGAAGGGAGGTGGCGGCCTGCAGTGACTGGCAAGGACTGTCAGGCTCTGTCACTTCACAAATATCTCCCCCACCCTGGGTCAAGGTGCTGCTCTTCCCTCCTACTGGGTCAGAACCCCCATCTCTCAACAGTCATTTCTTTGAGTTGATTACAAAGCCTACATCATAGACTCTAAATGGGTATCTTAAAAAGCTGAAAACTTTCCGACTGAAGGGACAAAGACTGCAAAGATTATCTCCCTTTACTTTTTCCATTGAATGGTAATAACTTTTAAAATTTTTCAAAAAGGGCCTATGTTACTGTGTTACCAGCATAAAAAGGCTGAGAATACCCAAAATCAGAATGCCTCTCCTTCTACAGGGGATCACAGTTCCTGATCAACAAGCGAACAAGGCCTGATGGAGAATGAGTGCATTCCAATAACAGAATTAGGCTTCAGAAGGTGGATAATAAGAAACTTCTGTGAGTTAAAAGAACACGTTCTAGCCCAATGTAAAGAAACTAAGAGCCTTGGGAAAAGGTTTGATGAAATCCTAACAAAAATAGACATTTTAGAGAGGAATATAAGTGAATTAATGGAACTGAAGAATACAATATGAGAACTCCGTGAAATATGCACAGGTTTTAACACCCGAATTGATCAAGCAGAAGAAAGGATATCAGAGGTCAAAGACCAACTTATTGAAATGAAACGAGAAGACAAGTTTAGAGAAGAAAAAGTAAAAAGGAATGAGCAAAGTCTCCAAGAAATATGGGACTATGTGAAAAGACTTAATTTACATTTGATAGGTGTACCTGAATGTCCTGAAGAGAAAGAATCCAAGCTGGAAAATATTCTTCAGGATATTATACAGGAAAACTTTCCTAACCTAGTAAGACAGGACAATACTCAACTCCAGGTAATACAGAGAACACCACAAAGATATTCCTCAAGAAGAGCAACCCCAAGACACATAATCGTTAGATTCACCAGGGTTGAAATAAAAGAGAAAATTCTAGAGAGAAAGGTCAGGTTACCCATAAAGGGAAGCGTATCAGACTCACAGCAGATCTCTTAGCAGAAACCCTACAAACTAGAAGAGAAGGGGGGTCAATATTCAATAACCTCACAGAAAAGAGTTTTCAACCCAGAATTTCATATCCAGCCATACTAAGCTTCATAAATGAAGGAAAAATAAAATTTTTCACGAACAAGCAAGCACTCAGAGATTTCATCACCACCAGGCCTGCTTTACAGAGCTTCTGAAAGAAGCACTACACACAGAAAGGAACAACCAGTATCAGTCATCCCAAAAACTTACCAAAAGGTAAAGAGTATCTTCATAATGAAGAATCTATATCAACTAATGGGCAAAGTAGCCAGCTAGCATTAAATGACAATATTAAACTCACAAATATCAATATTAATCCTAAATTTAAATGGATTAAACGCCCTAATCAAAGACACAGACACACAAATTGAATAAAAAGTCAAAACCCATTGGCATGCTGCATCCAGATCCATCTCATAAGCAAGGACACACAAAGACTCAAAACAAAAGGTGACTCACCAACCAAATGGAGAGAAAAAAAAAAAAACCAGGAGTTGTAACTTTCGTCTCTGACAAAATAGACTTTAATAGTAGCAAAGACTAAAAGAAACAAAGAAGGACATTACATAATGGTAAAAGGATCAATGTAACAACAGGAGTCAATGATCATAAATATATATGCACCCAGTACAGGAACACCCAGATACATAAGACAAGTACTTCATGACTTATAAAGAGACCTGGACTCCCACACAATAATAGCGGGAGACTTTGACGCCACATTGTTAATATTCGACGGATCAACGAGATAGAAAATTAACAGGGACATTTATGATTTGAACTCAGACCTGGAACAAGTAAACTCAGCGAATATCTATAGAATTCTTCACCCTAGGTCTACAGAACACACATTTTTTTTCAGTATCACATTATACCTATTTTGAAAGTGACCACATAAATGGAAGTAAATCACTCTTCAGCATTTGCATAGCATTTCACAGATTTAAATGAAATATTGGTTGGCTGTTTGTTTGTTACTTTCTTCCCTTATTCCTTCCTGTCTCCACTGTTAAGTACAATTATCGGCATAAAAGAGGTTTTTAATACCTATTTTTAGATTGCATTCCAGCTTGGGCAATAGAGAAAGACTGTTCTCTCTCTCCCTTTCTCTTTCTCTTTCTTTCTTTCATAAAAAAAAAGAAAAAAAAAAGGAAGGCAAGGTAGGAGATATCATCCCCATTTCACAAACTAGAAAATGGGGGCCCACTGCCACTTTGTTTGGCTTACTGGCACAGAGAGCAGCTTCCCTGGAAGCCACAGGGGGACTGGCCCTATGTGGAGTGAATATGAAGGTCTTGGTTGAGAATGTGGCAGCCACGTGTCCCTCAAAGATAGGATGCTGAAGAAGGGCTTTAGGGTAAGGATGGGGGTCATGAATATTAGAGTGGAAAGACAAATTATGTCACACGACATTGCCTATGGGGAGCTCTGTATGAACGGTTTCCTCCTCTGGCTTTCCACTTTCTCAATCCTGTTCACTCCCTAAAGCCAAACCCAAGTCTCACAGATCCAGGAAGGCTTTCTTGATTATCTAGCACAAAGAAATCATACAGGTAACCACCTTAAGGTTTTACCAGGCCTTAGCTCATTACAATATTATGACATGTTTTTTAGATAGGCTTTGCCATTCTTTTTACAAGTGAGAAAAGGAAGCTCAGAGAGGTTAAATAACTTGTCAAGCTGACACAGTTGATAAGCAGCAAAGTCTGGATTTCAGACTATATCACATCATAGCTGCCTCAACTTCCTGCATGCTTATCACCTCCTGTATATCATGTGTTTCTTAATTCGTTAGCTCTGTTATAAGTTCCCTGAGGGCAGACAACAAGTCATATATTTCTTTGTTAACCCCATTTCTGTCCTCCTGGAACTTAGCAGAGCACCTATGAACATATAAGTCCTCAATAAACATGATATGTTAAATGTCTGCTGGGTAGGAACAGTAATGATTAAGTGGGATTTTTTTTTTTTTTTTGATGCTCTGAATATTAGGCTCTCTGTTGTATATAATTAAAACAAAAGTGAACAAGAAATATATAATTTCTCCTAGCTCCAGTGTAATCAGGCATTCATTATCATGTCTAATTCTGTGTTCTGTGAAAAGAACTGCTTAGTAAGCATTTTCTATGATGAGGATGATCAAATACATACAGATATCAGAGAGATTTTAAAAAGACAAAATCATCAAACATATGGAGAGGCAATGATCTACATGGTATAATATTCCATCTGTGACTAAAGAACTTTCAAGCCAAAAAGAATACTTGTTTCCATTCTGACAATTGGATATTCAAGGAAAACTAAGACAGGAAGTCATGGTGTAACTGAGATCTTGTACCATCACACATTATTCTCTATCAAGAAGATGGATGCACCGTGCTACTGTTCTTGATGAGGAACAGAAAAGAGGTGCAATTTCAAGGGCTATTCTGAGAGAAGGGGTTTGCTCTGAGATCTTTTCAGCATGTCAATCATTTAAGTACCACCTTCACTGGCAGGCAAACTTAATGAATATACATGCAGTGAACAATTGATTACCCTGTTGGGTCTCTTTCCATTTCCCTCCCACTATATCATCAGTCACAGTTTTGGAAATATTAAGAGCTCAAACAGACTCACTGAGATTAGATTTTTTGATGGTGGGGATTAGCCCCCATACTTCTAAATTGGCATTTGATAAACTAGGCTAACAATAGCAGTGCCTGTCAACCACATTTTCTTGCCAAACCCTATATATTAATCTTAAATTGCTGAGAGGCAGAGCTTCTGATTTCCTCCAAGTTGTAGATCAAGTGCCACATTCCCATATGTTCAACCAACATCAAGCAAGAAGAGCAAATGCCAGGTTTGTGATACCTACATTTGAATCCTCATGGCTGTGGCCATTGGTCTCGACCAATTCCTTGGTACCTTTTAACTGCAAATTTTAAGGAAAAACAACATAAAACAAAATAATGAATAAGCAAGCAAATCTCTTAAATATATCATCTTGTTAACTGATTTATCTGAGGTTGCATTTTATAAAACTTCCAATGAGGTAAAACAGATGGAGCACATATTTCTCATGAGCCTTATTGGAGCCAGTTTGAGACCAATATTTTATGAAGCTTGATGCCTGGCAAAAGAATAAATGGGTCTTGGTCATTATTTTTTAAATAATAAGATTAGAAAGCAGTTCCATAGGCATAAAATGTATAAAATTGGTTCTTAAGAATAATAAATGATTTCATTTCCTAGTTGGATTGCTATTAATTTAAACCCTGCAGTGTTTGCAAGTTGCCACCAGCAAAATGATGTTATATTAACGATTGTTCGTGACTGATGCATTTTTAGCCGCTTTTAACATGCTGCTGTGCTACTAGACGTGTCTTCCTTGAGAATATGTTTGAATGACTGACATCTCTGGAGGCCTAAAGACAGCTGCTTCTTTGGTAGAGAAAGAGTTTGGATGACATCTCCTTGGCCACTGAAGCATTAGAAGAAACGATATTTCTCAAATGAGATTTTTAACTGTGAACATTTGAAAACACTTCTCTTTCTCAGAGGCTTAGGAGAAATCGGTTATCGGGAGGTTTCAGAAACCCTTTAATTGGCATTTTATCCTATCTTGACTCAAAACAGACATTTAGAATCTGACAGTAAAGGAAGAGGTGAGCGGGCTTGCAGCTGTTTTGCCAGTATTTTTTCCTGGCTTAGGAAGCAGCATCTCCTCCATTATTTTTTTTATGCCTAATACAAAGTATTCATGGTAGGAAAAAATACTTAAGAGTCGAAAGAAAATCAATGCACACATACCACCAATGTGTTTGATTCAGAACACTGGCTCCTTCTATTTGTGCATATGAAAATGAAAGCGTCTTTAGATTTTTAAAACCAGTCTTAAACTCCTAGCCAAAAAGCCCTACCTACTCTATGCCAAAGGAGGGGTTTTGCCAAAGGAATGGTAACATGAAGAAACTGAGGATCAAGTAGTTGATCATGGACCAAAGCCTCTTTGGCTCATTTCTGTATCACACCCACTTAAGAAAAAAATCTGCCCACTGTTCTTCAGGGCAACATCATTGATGTTTCTACACATGACAGACAGGGGAACATGGGCAATGTATGGCGTATATGACAAGGCAGAGGTGTGCTACAGTGATAGGAATACTACCTATTATCACAGGACACAAAAGGACTTTCTAAAATCCCCTCGCCCTTTTCCTAGCTGAAGGTTTCTTACTATAGGTGTCCCTCATCATCATCTTCTTCATCAGCCCCTCTGCTCATCCCACCTTAGGTCCTGTAGTTTGTGCTCCCATGAGTTAGAGTGGGGTTAGCTCAGAAGGTCTTGCTCTTTCTCAGCAGAAGTAAAGGACTATTTTGTGAATGTCTGTTCCACCTTTATGTGTTCAGCAACATAAATGTGCCAGTTGCTCTCCTCCCTTTTAAATAAACTCCATTCTTCCTATTCTATGATGTCCTCTAACTCTGCCCTCGCTGTTTCTGCTCCTGTTTACTCTCCCTCACTCCCTGTCTCTTGGCATTGTTCACTCCGCTGTGCTCCGTAGCCAGAACCATGGGAGGAAACCCCTCCCGCTGCATGTCGCCCCTCTCCTTCCTTGGAGCTGCAGCTCAGGACAGCTGCTGCTTTGTTGTTCCCTCAGCTCCCTGTTCTTCTCTCCTTTAGCTGCTACTCTCCCCCAGGTAGGGCTGCACATCTTGTCTGATGAAACTTAGGTTTGTGAACAAGCTCCAGATGTAGAACGCTATCCTCATTGCAAAGGAGATGAAAGGCAGGAGTCAGAGGGGCCTGGAGGGACCTAGAGAAGCTGCATCTTTGCATATGGGAAGACTGAGAGCTTAGGGAGTGGCCTGTCCTTCCCTGGAGGGGTGGGGCCTGAGGGTGGGAAAGGTCTGCCCCCAAGACCTATCCTTTCTTGTCAGGATTCCCAGCAAGGGGCAATCCCATTAATAGCAACATCCTAAATCTTCAGAGAAGGGTGTATCTTTCCCTGCATCTGTCCATTTGTTTAGGCCACATCTATGTGGCCGCTGAAACTGTTTGCACATGTAGTTATTCTACACAAATCCAAAGAAAGCCTCAAAGGCAATGGTCAGTGGAGGTGAGAGGTGTGGCTGTCCGTGCACATCTGTGTGTGGGTGCAGGGGCCTGGAAGGAGCCTGTACACTGCAGGGCCCTTTTGCAAGAACCACCAAGGGGTAGCAAGTGAGGGGCTCTTGGACAGGTTGGTAATGGTACCAGCACCCAAATATATTTGGTGTCTCAGGCTTAAAGGTTCTTGGTGTCTTTGCTTGGAAAGAGCTATCCCATTTAAATTAATATTGCAGATTCAAAATTCTTCCTTCTCAATCGTATTTTCTAGGTCTTTAATGATTTTAGTTGTTTCAAACCCTCTTCACGTTCTTTTTTTAATAATGGAGAGTGAAGTGTGATGTTTCACCCATGACTGTGTGCTTTGCTCTTTAAAAATGCATGCCATAACAAGACATATCAATACCTTCTGCAAAACCCAGAATCTAGTTTTATGACTATGGTTTGGACTTAAAATCAAATAAAAGATTTGAGTCATTTAGAGGAAAGAGAAATTCACCCTTCCCCATTCCAGTGGAAGCTATCTAAAAGAAAAAAAATCAGGGTGAGAGAGCAGAAAAAACAAAAGCTCAGAGCTATATCTGGTTGATTTGGAACAAATTTGGACCAACTCAGTTCCAAAACGCTGGGAGTCTTTTCATATTATAACAGTGGAAGGGGCAGTGATTTCAGATCTCCTCAACTACAGGCCATTGTGAATTTAGTCAACTACATTTTTCACTTCAATCTGTTATATCTGAAATCATAGTGTCGGCCTCAGTACATGTTACTGAACCTATATTCATCACATAAAGATAATTATTAGTTTTATGAAGTATTTTCTTCCAAAGCTATAAAAGTTTATAAACCAATATCTTTAATTTCCCCTCACAAATCAATCATACCTTTAGGAGAAAATAACTAAAAAGATATTTTCTGGACCCCAAAGCATTAAAAAAAATCACTCATAAAGTGACATAGAGCTGACTTCATATATTCTCAAATGTCACCTTTGAAGTTATTTATACAGTGTAAGGTTATTTATACAATATAAATCCAGGATGTATGGGTGAAAAATTTAAAACAACCTGCATTTCATTACCCACAGAGGGTTGGGGCTACTGTATGCAACTTTTTTCTTCAAATTACCATTCATATATTGTTGGCAGCAAGTGAAGGCCAGAAATAGGAAGGCATTTCAAGAGCTCTCCTGACTCCTCTCATGTAGATAGTGGGCTTAGATTTCACTCTGCTGCCTGCCGAGTGCTCCGTCTTACCCTGCTGTAAGACAATACTTTCCAATCCACTTATCAATGTTAGGCCACACTTTAGTATCAAAGAAAGCCAGAATGAAATGATCAGATTTACAAACTTCATATAAAAGGTCTGTTGCTCACCATGGTTAGATAAGTACCCTGATGCACCGGGAAGATATATTTTAAGTGTTGCTATGAATCAGTCCTTGTTCATGTGTCTTCAGGAGTCTCATGGGTTATGCTAAACTCATTTTCCTCACTGTTAGACTTAAGAGGAAACCAGCTGCTTACTTTGAAACTTTGAAACATAACTCATAGCCAATATTTTGAAACTTTATCAAAATTTGGTTGTCTGGAAGAAACTTTCACACAACACTGGCAGGCTTGGGCAATCTAAACAGGTACAGGAGTGAGGACAGTGATGCTGAGAATGAGATGATAAATTCTGCATAGCAAAGCTGCTAGGAGGTTTGACAGGGTTCAGGCTAATTGCACTGCAGATTACTTTCAGTGAATGTTTGCACGGGTGACGCACGAGGGAGGTATGCATTGGGGCGTTTGAACTGATTCATAAATCAGAGCTGTTTCATTCACTTACTTGTTCCTGGAGGACTTTTAGTAACGCTTGTGTATGTGACTGCTCTTCCTTTGCTTGTTCCAATTCTGACTTTTTGTTGTTTAATTCCTCCTGGATGGTTAGCAATTGCTGTGAAATTAAAGGATATTTAGCATAAGTAGGATTGAAGGTCAGATGATTTAAATATATCCATAAAACCCATTCAAAAGTATAAGTAGAAGATTTTTACATGTCTTGAAGCTGAATTCAGACCTCAGTTGACCTTGTGTGTTTTCCACACTAAGTATCGGGGCATTGCAGTTTTTGACACACTGTTATGTTATTTGTGATACCGATGTGCAAAACTTGTTTTCATATTTGTGAAGGCATTATTATACTCCTTTGAGCAAATGCCTGTCTGTAAAAAATATATAGGGTAGTGCTAATATATAACACATTGACAGATGAAAAAATTAAATAAAAATTTAATTAACTTGTCCAATATTGCTTCATTTCACATATTACAGTAAAGCTAGATTTACAGTAATTCTATAAAGCTACTTTGCCAAATTGCTGGGACCACAAAAGATCCTTTTACTTTCTCTGTTATGATGGTGATGTTTTATTAGATCAGCAGGACTGAAGTCCAAACTGCAATCAATATATCAGCTGAGAAAACTGCCGATATAAACTGTCAAAACACTAAGCTATGGCCTACACTGCTGTTTGTAAGCAGGGCCACTGAAGGGATTTCTGTAAGCCTTGAGCTTCCCTTGCCCTATCAACTGTAACTCATGTGAAGGCTTTCTTTGTGTGCCAAAAGCACAGCCCTGCACAGTGTAAATTCTTTGGGACATGGTTATATGTTAATATATACATAGGTTGGAGAATACATTCAAGAGCTGCAAAACAGGCCCTGGAAACAGCTCTGACTATTCAGAGCTTCTTGACAACAAATGACTAGTTTGAAAAGACAGAAGTGCATTTCTTCTGCTACCGTACATAACAGTTGCTGTACTAATGATCTAGAAATGATAGTGGATTCCTGCCGTGAAGAGACCCTGTCTCCAATAGCCAGCCTACTTCTTCAGGGCCTTGACAAGCTGGCTGCAGAGCTGTCTGGCCAGTTCCTAACCATCAAAGCCCGGAGAAACATTGGCACTGGATTTCTCAGGCTTAAACCTACCAACTGAAAGGATTAAATTAAATCTCCAAAACTACTGGTTTGGGGGGATTTTGCAGGGTAGGAAGTACTCAGAAAAACATACTGCACTTTCCCTTGGGCTTGCTTGTTCTGCTAACTGCTGGGGTACTGGGTATAAATATAAGAACCTACTTTGGTCCTGTAGCATAAACAGTGATTTCTTGAAATTTTCTAAAAGCTCAGTGCATCCTATTTCATGACCTACCCATGAAATAATCAATCACATTTGAGGTAATGCATACATTCCACATTGGCTCCCTTAACAGTTTATGGGATTTAATTGTGCATCATTGATTAAAGTATAGAAACCAGGGAGCCCATATTGTACTTTGGCACAGTGACAAGTACCTACATTGTGTCCAGACAGTGGGGAATGGCCCCGTTCCTTCACTCACATTCCTGACTGGCCCCAGAACAGTTCCAAAGGGAACAGGTACTCTGACTTGGGTAATGCTGAGTGAATTTTACTTTCTGAGACAATTTCAAATCCAATCCTTAAACCTCTTTTGAAAAATGAGCCAAATGAAGGATAGAAAATCGTCTTCCAAGGTAGGTAGCTTAGGTTTGTTTATTGCAGCGTTTGGGGCGGCAGAACCAAAAATAACTGATGTCCAGAAGAAGGGAGGTGGACGTTAATAACGGTGTATCGGTATCACAGGACACCATGAGCCCTTTAGAATGAAGTTGCACTAATGTCTCCTTATGACACAGGAGAAGCTCACAAAACACTGCTCAGCAAAAAATACATTCAGGTTACAAAATTTAACTTTGCAGCATATTCATAGGAAAGGATCTGGATGCTGTTTCTGGGTGTGTGGGTTCATGGAACTTACTATTTTGCTTGTCAATTTTCTGGTATATCTGTAAAACACATACTGCATGAGTAATGAGAAAAAGTCAAATGAATTTAAGATCGGGGAAGAACAAAGAAAGGAATACTACTTGGACACAACTTTCAACTATTACCAATACTGTGCATAAATAAGGGGGAGAAGCATATTGGAGTCTTTATTTCATCCACACACTTACAACTCTTTCTTCTATTAAAACAAACACACACGCATGCACACACACTCATATACACCCCTTTCCCTTGACCTCTTTTCTTCCTTCAGCCTCCCTCTTATCTCATCCATTCTTGGAATCACACTTTTTAAATGAAATGTCTTCACTCTCATCAGTATTTCCTTTTCTTCTTATGTGTAGGCAATCACTTCAATGATATAGTGTCTAGATTTTTATTTCAATGTGTTTTTCCAAAACATATATTGTTGTTGTTCTGTATGTATTTTTATATAAGTGATACTATGTTTCTTATTTTTTACTATGTTTTAAATTAGCATTATGTTTTTAAGATTGGCCAGGCGCGGTGGCTCACGCCTGTAATCCCAGCACTTTGGGAGGCCGATGTGGGCAGATCATGAGGTCAAGAGATCGAGTCCATCCTGACCAACATGGTGAAACCCCGTCTCTATTTAAAAAAAATACAAAAATTAGCCGGGTGTGGTGATGGGTGCTTGTAGTCCTAGCGACTCTGGAGGCTGAGGTGGAAGTATCACTTGAACTGGGAGGCGGAAGTTGCAGTGAGCTGAGTTTGCGCCACTGCACTCCAGCCTGGTGTCAGAGTGAGATACCAAAAAAAAAAAAAAAAAAAAAAAAAAAATCCATCCATGTACTATTTTTTTGTTAATGAATAAATGAATTTATTTAAAAACCTAATAGATTTTCTCTTTTTATTCCCAAAATGTGCTATATTTAAGGAAACTCTGAAATTCCCTTGAGATTTTACTGAGCTTGTTTATTATTATTATTTATTATACGTTAAGTTCTGGGATACATGTGCAGAACGTGCAGTTTGTTACATAGGTATATACATGTTACTATTTTATATATCTAATCCATGCTTCTTATGGAGTACATCCACCCAATTTTACCCAACCCACTCTCACAGTGAAGGCCATTCAGATTACCCCAATTCTTCCTGCTGTATATAAGCCTGCACTGGAACATGCTAGTGCAAGTTCCCTTATGGCCCTGTGGGAGAATTTCCCTGGGATACGTCTCCAGTGGTAGAACTCTTAGGTCAAAGAGTGAATTTGGCAAAGCTGCTCTCCGGGATGGTTATGCCAGTCTACCTACTGTCAGTGGTGTGTAAGAGCTGCTGTGTGCCACTGAATAATAATACTAGGTATTATTCAGCTTTCTAATTGTTGCCAGTTTAATAGAATATCAAGACTCTTCATCTTTGAAAAATTTCATACTTCTTTGATTCCCTGTGATTTTAAGCATCTCATCATATGCTTGTTAGCTATGGGAGTTTATTTATAATTATTAAAAGAATAGTCAAGAGCAGTGGTTCTTAATTCTGACTCTCCATTAATACTATCTGGGAAACTTTTCAAAAAAATACTTATTTCTGGGCCTGACAGAAGACCAATTAACTCAGAATATTGAGAGGTGGGACACAGGCACTGATCCTTTAAAATACCTTCACAGGTAATTATTCTAATGTGTAACTGGGGATGAAAACCACCGTATCCTGTAATGCTTATTTAATCTTCAGTCTACTATAATGTGACTTTAATCCCTAGTACTCTACTCAATCCGTTCTCACTGCAGTCACCAGTGCCTTGCTAATTGCCAACTAGTATTCCAGGTTCTTTTCTTCTCACTACACGCTCTCTCTAGGGGATCCTATTCATGCCCATGCCTTTAACTACACATCCTTTACAGCCTCTGCTTCTTTCTTACCACCTACCAGAACCTTCACTTCTTGTGTTTCCAACTGTGCCCGTTAGCATACCTACCCTTCCCACCCCAACCCAGTCTAAGCCTCTTCCCCTGGTATCTAGAATTAAAACCTTGAAGTCAACGCTGGCCCTTTCATCACCCTCACAGCCCCTTTGCCGGTTCCTTGACCTTTTCTCCATCCCATCCTAGCTATCGTAGTAAAGGCTATCATTTCCTTTCCTCTGGGCTCTTCCTGTTCCCCCTGCCATTTGTCCAACACTCCTGAGAGTTGACTTCCCATGGATTGAAGTGCTCCCGTGATTAAAAATACTGTTAATTCTCCTACCCCTGTAGATAAAATCTAAACCACTGAACTTCCCATCCTTCCCCAGACATGCCAGCTGTTTCCATGACTTATAAGTTTCCCACTCAGAATTCTGCCTGGCTGATTCCTGCTCATTCTTTAAGCGCCACCTCACATGTTGCTTTTGGCTTGAGATCAACTCAGCTGATGCCTTTGTAAAATTGAAAAGAGCCCTGTCATCCCAGACACAACCCCTCACTGGGTATATGGTTGGGTACTGGCATTGAGGCTTGATTTCATTCCCACTTACCCCTTTGGCCTGCTGCTCTTGTCCAAGGCTACTACACTACGAAATGCAGTAGGCTTGGGTTCTTCCTCTGTAAAATGTTCTCTAATCACCCAAGCAAAGTTAGTTCATCTACCTTCTTGCTCCCAAAGCACTTAATATGGTATATCACATTTCATATCTGTCTCCCCAACCAGACTACATTCACCAATATTAAGGTCAATGATCAGGTAACCTCTAACATATAATAGGTGCTAAATGAATGAATAAATGAAGGGATGAAAAGTTTACTGTTTCTCCACTTCTATGGGATTAAACCATGATCTAACAATAACAAAAAACCCCCCACCAAAATAACAACAAAAACAACCCTCCCCAAAAACACCTGAGGAACGATAAACTACTAGGGTAATGTGTTGTTCTAAACATAAGAATATAGAAAACTTTTTGAGGAAAACAGCAGTTTCATTTAAGACATTTTGATTCATCAATTAGCAGTTCCAGATATCCTCCTTAATCTGAAAAGAAATATTTCTCAACAGGCTAAGGAAATCCCATCAATGAATTTATAATTATGTAATTTATTCCTTAAGTTTCACCACAATAAGCACAAAATCGCCACTATC